TGTGTATGTGCACAGGTGTGTGTGCACTCCTGTGTGTGTGTCTGTGTATGTTCATATGGTGCATGTGTGTGTGTGTGCATGTATGTCTGTGTGTATGCATGTGTGTGTGTGTCTGTGTGTGTCTGTGTATGTACACATGTTCATTCCTGTGTGTGTGTGAGTGTGTGTGTGTGTGCGCGCACGTGTGGGCATGTTCGGTGTATAAAATAATAAATTTTAAGAAATTTTCAAGGGGCACTGGGTATGGTGGCACACACCTAATTCCAGCACTCAGGAAGCAGAGGCAGGCAGATCTTTGAGTTCAAGGCCAGTCACAACCACACAGAGAAACCTTGTCTCAAAAAATAGCCCCTGACCCCGAAAAGGGAAGAATAACAGAAACTTCTGAGAAGAAACCCACATGGAGTGAATTGCTCATTTCTGAGGCTTTGCCTTGAGGCCAAACACATCTGTGTCATAATGTGACTAAAATTCCAAGAGATGCTCTGCTGTCCTTCTATCCAGAAGAACCAGGAGGAGGGAGAGGTGACCCAAGAAAGGGCAGAGCCAAAGAAACAGAACCCCAGGTCCTGTGTGTGAGTCCTGCCAGATACTCTGACTGATCCCCAAATCACACATCCTTTGACATATTAAAATCTTAAGCAAGATGTGAACCCCAACCCGCTACAGAGGTCAGAGTCTGAAATTTTGATCTAACCAAGTTAACTAAGAAAAACCTCAACACTTGGGGCTGAAGAGATGGCCCTCCAGTCAGGACCACTTTCTGCTCTTCCAGAGGACCCAGATTCAAAATACCCTGTCACTCCAGTACCAGGGCCTCCAGTATCCTCTCCAGGCCTCTGCAGGGACCCACACCTACAGCATTCTCTCTCTGTCTCTCTCTCAGTCTCTATATCTTTGTCAATTTCTGTATCTCTGCCTCTCTATATCTGTTTCTCTGTCTCTCTATCTCTCTGTATCTTTGTCTCTGTCTTTCTATATATATCTATCTCTCTATATGTGTATCTCTCTCTGTCTCTCTATATCTGTTTCTCTCTATCTGTCTCTATATCTCTGTCTCTACCTTTCTGTCTCTCTATATCTCTGTTTCTCTATATCTCTATTTCTGTCTCTCTCTGTCTCTCTCTCTCTCTCTGTCTCTCTCTCTACATCTCTGTCTCTCTGTCCCTCTCCCTCCCTCCCACCTCTTTCCTCCTCTCTCTGCAGGAAAAGTAACTCAGTTTTAGGGAAGAACTCAGGCAGCACACATCAGTCCTTAAAATGATCCACATACTAAAATTATTTGACAAGGATTTTAAAGCAGCTATTGTAACAAGCGGTAAAATATGATACAATCAATATAAAGATAACACATCTCAACCAAGAAATATAAAATACAATAGTGAACTCATTAACAGCAGTGTTCATTTTTTTTTTTTTTTTTTGAGACAGGGTTTCTCTGTGTAGTCCTGGCTGTCCTGAAACTCACTCTGTAGACCAGCCTGGCCTCGAACTCAGAAATCCGCCTGCCTCTGCCTCCCAAGTGCTGGGATTAAAGGCGTGCGCCACCACCGCCCGGCATCAGCAGTGTTCATAATGACCCAAAAATGGAAAGGAAGAAAAAACCTCAATGCCTATCACCTGGTGAATGGGTAAAAAATAATGTGTTATGTCCGTAAAATGGTCTATTACTCAGCCATAAAAAAACAAAGTATGGATATAAGCCACAACATGGGCAAAGCTGAAGCGTTACATTAAGCAAAGAAGGCAGACACTAAATGCTTCATAGTGTATGAGTCCCTTTGGGGGCGTAGCAGGGTCTCACCATGAAATGTTCTTCATGCATCATGAGTGTGAACACTTAGTCCCTGCAGCTGCTCTGAGAGGCTGTGGAACCTTCTGGACATAGGGCTAGCAGACACAAGGCGGTAGGGTGGGCTTAGATCTAGCTCTTGGCGCCTGACCCCCTGAGATGCAGTAGGCCACAGCACCATGAGTGGAGGAGCCCCAGTCACTGCGCCTACTCCTGACTGCATCCCCTTTAACCGTGAACCAAAACAAACCCCGCCTCTTTTAGGATGATTTTGTTGGGTGTTCTGTCCTAGTGATAGGGAGAGCTAACAGGGCTGATGAGAACAGGCAAATCCGTAAAGACAAGAAAGGAGACAGCGGATGCAGGAGTCCGAAGCCATCGATTGATTACCAGAGTGGTTTCTGCTTGGGGCTAATGAAAGGTTTTGAACTTTAATATTGACAATGGCTGCGTAACTCTGGAAACATACCACTGACTTGAATTCTTACATGGACTCAAGTGAACATCGTACAACTGTGCAGAGTCTGAAGTCAAAGAAGTCACTAGATAGAGGGCCCATCAGTGAAAAACGGCAGAAAAAGTCAGAGAACCGGAAGAGAGATAAATCAAAGGTGTGTATTAAGACAGAAAAGGAAGGGAGAGAGGGAAGGAGGGGGGAGGAAGAGGGAAGGAGGGAGGAGGGAGAGGGAAGGA